TTCAAAGTGCTACCCTTCAAGTATTGTCTATTTAGATGATTGATAGTAGGCGATTCGCAAAGTTGTTCCATTGCTTCTTCACTAAAAGCAGAATCGACATCCTCTATTTCCACATGTAATACGGAAGACACAGATTTTGAGGAGGAAGCAAGAATATTTCCTGTAGACAATTGTTTATTCTTTTGCAAGACTGCTTGCTGGGATTGACTTTTGAGGAGTCGTAATTCTTTCCCTTTCTAATGATTCGCCATTACTGTGTTAGGTTGTAACAATATTGTAGAATTTGATGGAATTTAATCTTTTATCATAATGACATATTGTGATTGAATTTAATCTTTTGTCATAAAGCTATAACAAGAGATTAGTATTATTAATTAAAATATAGTCAAATCTCTATAATCATTACTTTTAATTATTAATAACTAGGAAATTCAAAATTGTTTTATATTTTCAGCAATAAAAGATCTCACAGTCTAGATGTTTCTTTGTATAAACTTAATTGAATGTTTTTTACCATTCTGAAATTTAATATTTTATGATTATACGTTAATATTAAAATACTCAAAAAAATTTCAGCACTCCAGGATAAGGGTAAAAAGATTAAACATTTTTTATAACTTATGATCACATGATACTGAATTACATGTACAGTCGCCACAAAAAGTAACGCTCAATTTTTTTAAAAATAAAATTTCGGATTTATTTTATTTCTGTCTTATAAATATAAAAATATTTTTTACCAATAGATAATACATTATTAACTCTTCATATAGCTCTAATATTGCTTTGATTTCTCAAGACATTCAGCCTACAACCTCCTCAAAAGCCAACACATCGAATTTTCTTCAGAGTAGTCTTGAGCTTTTACGTGATCCTTGAGAAGCTTTTAAATTTTAGAATATTGTTCCCCAATGACTTGGAGACATTTCTATGAAGTTTGGGTCATGAAAGCATAACATTTATTGATTTCTCTATTTGATTCTATTCATGGCTTCTTTCCCTAATGTAGATCAAGTTTTATTTTTTTTGAAACATCATGTTCTCTCAAATCAATGATCAAATTATATTTACCTTAGAGAATCTTCAGGTAAGTTTTTGCACAGATTTTTTATTACCAATGTCATGAAATGGTCTTTTTTAGTTTCTTGTGTATATTCATTTTTTCTTGATAGTTATGAGCTTATGGTCTCTCAGACCGTGGTAAATTTTTGTTTTTCCTGTTTCTTTTGTACTTGACAAGAGACTATTATACTCTAACCGGGTTACGCCACATTTTTCTTGCAACTTGC